TAGCTCAGTGACTCGAAGGACGATGGATTCAGAATTCCCAGTGATGGTGGTGTGTGCCACTTTAGTTTCTGACATTACAGTCTTTCTAGGTAATTGTCTATGTAGAATTGAGAACAGTAGGCCAGGAACTGGGACAGAGGGATGCTTTATAAAAAAAAAACAAAAAAAAAAAAAAAAAAAAAAAAAAACCCAAAATCAAACAACAGCAACAAAAACCCTCCCTGAAATCCACTTCCATATCATGCTCTAGATAAACTCTAATTAAAAACCCACATCTTCTGCTTCTGAAACATTTGCTCAGCTCCAGAGAAAAACCTCTTTTGGGGAAGGGAAGAGATTATCCTAGGATGGCCCTGTAGACAAGATTATGACAACATTCCCTACCCCTTGTAAACTGTTGATTATGTATTGTCAGGGGAGACATCTTATGCATTGACTAAGATCCTGTTGCACACTCATAGAGAATTAGAGGTTCTTCTGGATCTCTGAGTCTTAATTTGAATTCTCAGCTGAAGGAGAATTCTTCCTATTACATACTCAGCACGTTTAATGAATGTTTTTATCACACACTGGTTTGGAAATCAGTTCAGATTTACTCTAAAGGGACACACATGGGCCATCATGGATGCCTGACAGGCCATTGGCAGACAACAGTGAACCCAGGTTTCTATGACATAACACTTCCTAGACCTTTTCTTTGGGTAGAGGAAGTTCCCAAAATATGGGCTCTTTGAAGCAATAAAATTGTTATTGTAATTTTAAATTTTAAAATTTAAAATTTTAAAAAGCAATGTACTCAAAATTACCATTATTAGAGATGGCTAAGGATTGTACTGGGATGCTTTTCTGCCTTGGGATGTGGCTGACCAAAGAAGCTGAGTCAGGGCAGACTGACCTGGTGGGTTTTACTGTTCTTGGAAGTTACCTGGTACAGAAAAATGGCTCTTTATCCTGAGAGCAGTGGGCATCCCAGGAAACAAGTAATTTCTTGCTTTAATGTTTACTTAAGAACATTATGAAAAGTTTCCTGGTTTTCTTTCCTCTTTCAGAGTATCTAAGATTGTCCCCAGCCCTGGTTCCATGGGCAAAGCACATATAAAAAGCTGACAAAGAGCATCAGAAGCGTTAAATGTGCAGGTAGAACTTCCAAGCAACATTAAGTGACTGCCCTGTGAGCCCATGACACCTGTGATGGTTCAACAAAGTCATGTTTTACTTGTTGGGGGGGGGGGCAAAACTATAGCAACTCTATGGAAATTTCTTTCAATAGTATAAGGAGGCCATTTCCAGCGAGTTGAAGGATTTAATAGAGAGAATTCTGCCTCAGAACTCCAAGTAAAAAGCCCAACGTACATTCTGGCCTGCTGCCCCTGACACAGCAACCCCTACAATTGCTTGAGGGAATTCCTTCAAACCCTCTTAATATGTGCCTTAATGATGATGTTTTTCTGGGGATCCCTGACAGAGGCCCCCCAAAGGTGAGAAATCTTTCACAGGGTCTTACTCCATTCAACAATGGACCCTAGGACATGGGTCATGTTTGACTTTTCTTTGTCACCTCCGATTCCAGCAGAGTGCTTTCCCAGACTACTCGATGGCTGCTGAGCTACTGATGAAGAGGCTGAGCCTAAATAACTACTATCCAATCAGAAAATAAGTGAAGCCAGGTGAGGATGATGAACCGAGTCAGAAAAACAAGAGGAACCCACGCAGAGCAGAGCTGGGCAGCAGGCAGTTCCATGCCTGTGGGAGCCAGAGGAATACTAAGTTCAAAAGCCAAAGGCCTTGAGAGGTAAGTTTGGAGTTTGGAGTTTAACATCAGTGACCAGCGAAACTCAGTCCATGCCAAGCTCCTGGCCACGTGCCGGTGAGTGTGCTGCTCCAGCTTTGGGAACCAGGGTTGCTTATCACCTTGTTCTCTAACATGAGTCTTGGGCATCAAACTCAAAGAAGCCAAGAGCAGAAATCCAGAAGGCTGAGAGTTGAAACGATCATTATCTGCCTTTCATGGAGGACAGCCCGTGGTGACCTGGGCCCTGAGCCCTAATTAGTGACTGCAGTGATCTAGAAGCCGGGACAGCACTGGAGCCAGAACTGCAGAGATCCACACAGAAACACACCTGGTGCCGCAGCACCTTAACCCTGGCAGTTAGCTCAGAGTGTGCCTAGTTTTCCCCTCAAAAGTAACTGGCCTGTAGCAATGACTGTGAAGTAGTACGGGGTCTCTGTGTTAGCTTCTATTCACAAGGCAAATGTGCAAACAGACCAAGCTGTCCACACAAGTATTATTCCTTAATCTTTGTACCTAAGAAAGAACCCTGCACTTTAGGAGGCATCTAAAATAACGATCCAAGACATTGTCTTTCTGAAACTTTGTTAAAATGTTATTTTATAGGATAGTTAACCAGTAACAGTGGCTGAACTTAGACCATGCTAATGGCTAAAACACTTTGGTCACAGCACAAACATCAAGACATCAGTGGCCACATCCCCCAGCTGCATGAACAGTGATTTCTGCTCACTCCTTAGCAAACTGTGTTCAACAGAACAAAGGAAACAAGACAGTTACCCATGTAATTCGAAAAGAAACAGATGATATGTTCATGTGGAGAGAAACAAAACCAAAAGTCAGTTATGGAATCTTATCTCCTTGGACATAATACTGGGGTGAGATTTCTAAAAGGCTGTCCATTTATTTAGTCTAAATGAATTCCAGCACAAAAGAGGCCTACTAAGCAGTCCCAAGGTCAGGCGCCATGCAGAAATGAGGCTTGTGCCACACAAATGAGACAGGCATAGGCTTCAGTATTCTACAAAATTGACCCCAAGTTACGGTGCTACGAAAACCAGAGCAGACCTTTCTTACTGTGTTAAATTTGTGAACTTACAATTGTAAGCAAAACTATGGGGCTCGTGTCACACATACAGGAAACTCTAAGTAACCATGAAGCATTGAATGGGTGACTGTACTGAATACCACAGACCCAGGATAAGGTTGCTGACCTGGAACATGGTTGGTGACCAGCATGTGAGTATTCTAGCATTTTCAGATGTGTTAGGAAAACTGGCTGACAGCTTTCTCAGGTGTTGCTCATTTTGCCCTTCCCAGAGGCTCACAGACTGAGATGATTGATACTGGTTTTAAAAGGATGTTTTTCAGCCCCGAAAGTCTTCAGAGTCCAAGACAGCCATGCCATCCAGAGGACTGGGCACCTTAAATAAAGGTAGGCAGGCTTGGAAGCCCCTGGAGGCCAAGAGTCAAAGGCCTGAAGTCAATCAATTAAGAAGTTCTGAAATGAAGCTGTGTGTGGCAGTCCATGACTGTTACCCTGGCACTTAGAAGGCTGAGACAGAACGATCACCATGAGTTCAAGGCCAGCATGAACTACAGAGCAAGATCCTGTCTCAAAAACAAAACAAACAGAAACACTAAACCAAACCAAGAAAACCAAGAGAAAGAAGCAAAACCAGTTTTGAGATGCATGCCAACCCCACATAAGGCTGCATGTTCTCTGCTATGGTGTTACTCCGCTGTGTAACCCCCGAAAGTCATGTTTTTAATACATGAAACCCAGTGAAATGAATGCTGATTAAAGATGACAGATAGAAGAAAGACTTGGGGAGGAAGATGTCACAGTGACACAGGGCGTCCCGAAAGAGTTGGTCATCATGGGAGAAGAATCATTTTCCCGGTCTTCCCACTGCTGTGGATGATGTCTTCATGGGCTTGGACCACCTTCTCCAATGGGTACTCAGAACCTATCACTGGCTTCACCCAACCTTCTTTCATTCCTGCTTGGAGGATGCCTGCGAATTGCTGAAATTCCTCCTAGGGGAAAGAGACAAAAATGTTTTAAAGTGTGTTTTTGTTGTTCTCAGTTTCTCAAGGAACGTGGATATCGGGGAGCCATACCAGAAAGGTCCTCCTGCAAATGTGCAGATTTGACACCTGGCCCAGAACTCCCTTTTAATTCTGTCAATTGCACAAGTCTGGGACAGTGTTAGAATAGGAAATACTATCCTGAAATAGCTACAATTAGCATGCCTTCTCCCAAACAGACTGAATTATACTGCTGCTCTCACAAACCATCCAGGGACCGACCGATATCTACCGCTCCAGTCAGGTGACCAAGCTCAGCATCTACCGTAAATCTGTTGACTAGACAAACTTCCAAGTGTTCATGTTAGCAACATCAGAACCACCTCCTTCCCTACCTTGGTGGATGAAAAGAGAGAAACTCCAATTATACTCGTCTCCTTTGCCATGGTGTCCCTTGGGTTTATTTCAATAGGACCTCTAGAGCCAACGACCTGTCATGGAAAGATCAGGTACACTGTGAAGACCCCTGTGAAGGGGTAAACGGCAGAGAACGTCAAAGGGATGAAGGACAAAACTTACAATTACTCGTCCTCCCCGGGACAGAAGCTTCAAGTCATTACTCAGGTTGACATTCGACAGCATCTCAATAATCACATTAACCCCATCGTCACCAACAGACTTCTGCATAATAAAAGGAACATGATAAAGATGAACGGCTGTAAACTCGCTTCTCCAGTAAGAAATGTGTTTCAGATGGCAGGTAAATGCTGTGTTTTTAAGACTAACAATGCAGGCTTTAAAACGGTCTTATTACAAGGCAGTGATGCCATGCCAAGCAAACAGCCATACTCTGCGGTGTGAAGACTGAGAGGCACCAGATAAATTGACATATGAGATAAAATCTGTATGGATTATTTGTGTGTGCTAGTCAACTTGAACATAAAATGTTGGTCCTTAGTTAAAAATTTCCTATCATTAAAAATGTTTACAGAGAGGAAACAACAAATCAAAACTTCCCAAACCCTAGGGGTCTCCCATTGGTGCTTTCAGGATGTGTGGGGTGGACTGGGGTGTATTTCTGTGTGTGCATATTCAGTGCTGTTCTAAGTGCTTTCCCATTGCCTGCTACACTAATTCTTTTTGTCTGCACTGTAGAGCATTGGTTCTCCGTATTTAAAAATAGTTCTTGAAGAGCCAGCAATATTATTGTTATTTTATATTACATTTGTTTTATTTTATTTTAACAAGAGTGAATTTGTACACCAGGCATTGGATAGAGTGCGAAGAATGGATGTAGTGCACTGAAAACTAGAAATCTGGGTGGAAACCACCACAAGCACAGATTTCACGGAAGGCCTGAGTGCTGTGTTACAGACGTAGGCCATGAGTTACAGGAGGAAAGAGTTAAAGTTTAATTGCCTACACTGGTCAAGGAAAGTTCCTCAGAGGAAATGACCCAGAGGATGAAAAGGGGTCTCCTAAACACAAGGGAGATGAGGAAAATCTACACACAGGGCCTTTGGGGAATTCTTCCTCAGCCACAGCATTGTGGGAGAGAAAAATTCAAACTGTTACAGCTGACAACATGCTGAACAGTGCCTTAAGTGAAAGACTAAGTATTTGGTTTTATTTTCCAGGTGTTCATTAATTCAATGTTTTAAGTATTAGAAACTCAGTAAGAGGCAGGAAGTCAGAATTCCTATTTGAAGAGAGATCCATTCTAGTTTTTCTTGATACACTTAAAGGGACAAAATTCTCTGGGAACCGTAGAAGATAAAGGGGCTCGAGGGCAGTTACAGACTCGTCAGGCTGGGGAAACAGAGGCTTAAGTAGCAGTGGCAAGGACTTGAGAGACCCTTGCAGGGGTGAAGCTGGCAGAGTAACGTGGGCACCGTGGAGAGCAGCAGGGAGAAGATGATTTAAAATGAGCATAAACACTGAGATTGGTTCCTGCCTGGTACATGTATGCCGAAGACTGCCAGGCCGGCGGCACACAGGAATGAAACTCAGGTCCAAGAGGCAACAGAGGGCACACAGACACACAGACACACAGACACACAGACGCACAGGCACACAGACACACACACACACACACACACACACAGACACACAGACGCACAGACACACAGTGTGTAATAACATGGAGAGGAAGGAGGTTAACGTGATGCCAGTGTGCAGGAAGACAGCCAGGTTCAAGGAGATGGAGTCAAGGTCTCACTCCCGAGGATGAAGACCAGCCTAGTCACAAGGCCTCACCTCTGACCCCTGAAAAGCAGCCTGGTAGATGTTCAATTACACAAACATAGAACTGCAATGGGACGGAAGGAGTGAGGAGGAAGGAGGGGGAGGAGGGAGGAGGGAGGGGGAGGGAGGAGGAAGGGAAGGAGAGAGGGAGCAGTGAGTCCACTGTGTTTCCAGACGTTAGGCAGTAAAGGATCTGGAGAGAGAAGGGGAGAGGAGGGGAAAGGGAGCAGAGGGGAGGGAGAGGCCTGGACATGTCTGGGAACATGAGAAACAGAGAAGCCACAGGGCAGGTGAAGGAGTCAAGACCTCAGACTCTGGACAGACAAGGAGCCAGCTCACCCGGGAGCCAGGCCCCCATAACCTCTGTAAACATCCAGGAGTCAGCACGGGGTGCCAGCTCCCCCGTACAAGGCACAAAGGAGAGCCTTGACTGGTGTGTTTTGGCAAGGCGGTAGGGTGGAAAGAGACCCCCACACACATTCTTCCTCTTGGGTAATGACCTCTCTAAAGCACTCAGTGCGGGAAATTCTCATTCTCCTAACTTAAAGTGCTTGTGAGGGTGAGCAAGGAGTCAGTCTTGAGTTAGTTATTAGCAGTTAACAAACAGGGACTTGAGGGTTGAGGTGAGGATTGGGAATAGAAGGCAGTGGCAGAGCGCTGGCCAGGCAAAACAGAGAAGAGCCTGTATGAACTGGGTTGTACGCCACTATTACCTGAATGCTCCTCACATGGTGGGGGGGACAGTGATTATTCCTCCCCAAGGACCCCGTTAACAAGCAGCATATTTTCCGGACAGATGCATCTGCTGTGTACTCCTGGGAATCTCAACTGCAGTGGGAATTTCACATGATAACCGCTGCCATAAGAGCATCGTGGAGCTAGCTGTGAGCTTTACTTACAATGTGACCTTTCAAGTTTTTGAGCCATCAGAAAAGCTCCACCTCATTTAATACGCATGCACAATGAAAACCTGACTGCAAAGGTTGAAAAACTAGATGTCTGTGCCTTTTAAATCAATTAAAACACAGAGATCTGAAAATGGAAGCAATCTTATTTATTAAGCAAAGTCTTATTTATTCATTAAGAGTAGTAGTTAAAATAACTTGTTTTTAAAATGAGTAAATTTTCAAGCAGTGATGTTTGACTTTTTAAAACTGTAGAAAACTTTACCTTGATTTTATCAATATAATTAACTTCTTTGTGATCAAACACTTCATGAGCTCCATTTTGCAGAACAAGCTTTTTTCCTTCCTCAGAACCAGCTGTGCCCAAAACTTTTAAGCCATGAGCTCTGGCAATCTGGCACGCAGCTATTCCAACCTGAAAAACAAAATATAAGCCCGACATTACACAGTCTCTGCATTCCTGAAAAGCCTTCTATGCCAACAGGGAACTACAGATCCTTCTAGAGCAGTGTTTCTCAACCTGGAAGTTGAGCAACCCTTTCACAGGGCTGTATATCAGATACTTACATTATGATTCATAACAGTAGCAATATTACAGCTATGAAGTAGCAAAGAAATAACTTTATGGTTGGGGTCACCACAACCTGAGGAACTGTATTAAGGTGTCACAGCATTACGAAGTTCGAGAACCACTGTCCTAGTTATAATCTATCCTGAAGGTCAGAAGAAAACCAGCTTTGAGTTCATATTCATACCATTCTGGTGACACGCTAAGTTCTCCCTACACTGTGCTCAACTTATCTTCACAGTGCTCAGTGAGGTCTTCATCACCTCTATCTGTATTATGCTGATAAGGAATGTATGGTGATATTTTATTTGTACTGAAATGTGATTTTATTTGTATGTTAATAAATAAAGTTGCCTGGGGGTCAGAGCTAATAGCAAGCCATAGCAGAAGCCGGGCAGTGGTGGTGCACACCTTTAATCCCGATCACATGACAGGTAGAAGATCTCTGCGTGTTCAAGGATACAGCCAGCATGGAGCCACACGCCTTTAATCTCAATACCAACCATAGAAGACCTGGAGGTCTGTATAGACAGGCAGTGATGAGGAGGTCATGTGGTTGGATTTACAAACAATGAGAAGGCAGAACAGAAAGTCAATAAAAAGATAGACACACAGGAAGTAGGTCTCTTGCTGAGGGGAAGGACAGCAGCAGCAGGAAGCGTAAGGAGGAGGTTTTAAGTCTCAGCTCTTAGCTCCTGCTCTGACATCTTGGGCTTTTAACTCTGCATTTGGCTCTGTGTTTCTTATTTAATAAGACTGTTGCATCTACAGGAACGGGCAAGCTCTAAATACACCAACTTTGTCCAAATCTCACACAGCAGAACAAGGTGGAATCTGACTGCACAAAGTAAACCATTAACCACTGCATCAGAACACCTGCTAATACCTGCCTTGTGCAGGAGGTGCAGGCTTTAACGATAATTTCAACACTGCTGCTTAACTATATCTAACCAACTAAACACGACAGTCTTGTAACAAGCATAAGGTCTCTACCATTTAAGTCAGAGACACAGCTTCATAGGCTCATTTACTGAGTGCCTGTCTTGTGCTGCCCATGCACTTAATGTAAAAAAATTACATTCTAAAGACAAGGGAAGATAGTAAATGAACAAACAAGTCAGTCAAGACAGTGAAGTGAGCAGAAAGTACTAGAGGAAATAACAACCTGGGTTAGAGATGTGGAGAGGGGCTGTCTAGGTCCTCAGGAAAGGGGACTTGGAAGAAAGGAGGCCCGGAAGGGAGGTGCGGGACGGGAGGAAAGCCAGTCACACACCGGCCAATTGCAGACGGTAAAGGGCGGGCTGGTTGAATGGATAGAGCAGGGACATGCTTGGGATGGTCAAAGGGGAGAAAGAGGGATGACATGGCTCAGGGAGGGATCACATGACCCAGTGCAGACAGAGTCAACAGCCAAGGTCCAGGGCACGGTAAAGGCTCTGGACAATATTGAGAAACAAGGCACTCCCTGGAGAATCTAAGCTCTCCAGACGTGCTCACAGCTGTACCCTAGACTTGTCTGCCCACACTGGCAGGCAGACCCTCTAAGACCCTGGTGAATCCGCTGTAAGGAAGTGGAGTGATGTGAAATCACCCCACTGGGTACTGCTGATCTAGAGCAGAGCTTGGGATCTCCAACTGCATTCATTTACTCTCATTTTTCATAGAATAAAACCCTTCCTAACTGTGATTTATCATAAGGTTTTAAATCCCCAGTTTTATTCAAAGTCAAATTTAGAAAAGCACTTATTGCTTGAAAAGAAGATATTCAGCCATTTCTTTTTTCTTTTTTTAATCATTTATTCATTTTTATTTTATGTGCATTGATGTTTTGCCTACATATATATATCTGTGTGGGGTTGTCAGATCTTTGAGTTATATAGACAGTTGTGAGCTGTCATGTGGGTGCTGGGAATTGAACCTGGATCCTTTGGAAGAGCAGGCACTGCTCTTAACCTCTGAGCCATTTCTCCAGCACCCCATTTCTCTTTTCTTTTGAGAAACTCACTACATACCCAGCTGGTCTAAAATCACAGTGAGTCTCTGCCTTAGCCTCCCAAGTGTTAGGATTTTCAACATGAGCCACTTGTTAGGCTGTCATTTTCTGTTAACAATCAGTGTTTCATACACAGACCAGGGCTTCCTCAGCATTTTCCACTCAGGACTCCTTTTACAAAACCTTAGGCATATGGACACATGAAACAGACACACAAGTCACACCTCTCAGAGTTTGACCCATTATTCTGACTTTATAATTGTCAAGTGTAAGAATGACACTTCACATAAATATATGTAGTACAAAAGTGGCAGACATGTTTAGGCCCACTTCAGAAATTGTTGAAAATTCTTCCCTACTCCCAGGTCACAATTTATTGAACTATTTTTTAATGAAACTCAAGGCAGCAATTCAATAGCAATTTTTAAAATCAAGCCTTCTTTGTGAGTATATGTGTGCATGTAGAGGCCAAAAATGAGTGTATTCCCTCCCATATCACACCATCTTATTAAAACCATAGATTCCAACACAATACAATTCAAAGACGAAATAATTTGATCCATGCTGACACCAGATCAATAGGTTAGACGGCTTTCCACCGAGCCAAGTCAGAAACCATGTGGTAGAAGTGGAGAACCAACTCGGGCAAGTTGTCCTCTGACCACCAAGAGCATGCACAGACACACAAATCAATAAATGTAAAAAACTCAATTAAAAAATGAAGAAGCTACGATCTGGAAGGCCAACGGGATTGGCAAGAAAGGAAAAATAATTACAATGAGAAATGAGAGAAACTCACTTGAGCAGGAGCAGTTCCAGCCTCCCAGGCTACAATAGGCTTAGAGACTGTAAGGTCCATGAGGCGATGCAAGTCAGGCTATGGGGTTTCTAGACTCTAACCAAAACAAGTATGAGGGACCCCATCTGATGAAGAGGACAGGAGGCCATTAGGTGAAACGCTGCACTACAAGATCATCGCACTCCACTCCGATGACTTAAATTTTCTGTTGACACTATGACTCTAGTAAAATCACATTTTTAAAGTACAGATTTATTGCAAACCTATCATGTAATGCTCTCCTTTGAAGGGCCACCCAGTAGTCTTCTGAATGGCTCTGGCTGTTATTTTCTTGCCAACAATTAGACTCACAATATTTTTCCAAGAGATTATGTGCCATTATCTGCCAGCTATTTTTATTTTTCTCCAACTTACTTTGCTACCACTAAAAGAGGCACTCCCACATACTAGGACAATGGCTGTGTTCGCAAATCCACATCACTTTAAACCCACAACATAATCCTGCAGAAGTGTGAGTTAAATGAGAACAGAAAGTACAAACAGAAGCCAGGCAAAAGCCAGTGCTGTCTCCCTCAGATAGGGCAGGGGGATCAGGTGCTTCCCACTCCAGCCGCCAGCCGGGCCCAGCCAGCCAGGATTTAGCAGGCTCAGTCAGCTCCGAAAACCAACAGTTTGGATTTTATCTTTTCAAAAAGCAAACCAATCTCTCTGAAGCGACAGGGCTTTCTACAGGAGGGTGAGGGAATAAAGAGATTTCCTTTAAACTCCTCTCTCTCCACTGTACCAAAATCTCTCTTCTCTACAGAGCGCCAGGCTCTCAGAAAGCCATAGTAATTTAAATAAACTCATGTGCTTTTCAAACCTTTGGTTGTTGGGTTAAATTTAAACCTTATGCAAAACCAGCCTTTGGTGGTGGTAAACAGTGAGTTCAGCGGTTGTGTTTTCTCAGAGACACCTTGGACTTTTTGATAAACAGTCTGATCCGTGAAATCCTCCAGGATTGACTTCTTTGAGTCAGAAGCTGGATATGAAACAAGGAAGTTCATCTCTAAAGAGACACAAAGTGGCCTGACTTTTGAGTTACCTGGCACTTTTAGAGGCAGAGTCATACTGTCAGGGCACCACCATCATTACATGGGGCATGCTGTGCCCAAGAGTGACTCCTTCCCTCTTCCTCCCAGAACACCCAGTACTGAGAGCTGACAAGTCCCCTGAAGCTGAGCCTTCGTGCCCTGGGCCCTGGGTTTTAAAAACGTGAACTGTTGTCTCCAACATTTCCAAAGCCTCCCTGTGCTGGAGTATCAAATTCAAATGCATGCCTCGACCTTTCCTGCCATGCTCCTTGGAGGCAGACTGCAGTAATATTTCTGAGGAGGAGTCTAACAGTGCTATACTTAGTGATTGCCTAAAGAGGCTTAGGTACTAAGTTCTGAATCCTTTCCCCACTAATCCTTAACATCTTCAGCCTCGGCCTGTGGTGTTGAGGACACAGCTATCTACCAAGCACTCCTTGGATGTCAGCACAGTGTGTGTGTGTGTGTGTGTGTGTGTGTGTGTGTGTGTGTGTGTGTGTGTGTGTGTGTGTTGGCAGAGAGGACTGGACAGAAGAGAAGCTGACCACACTGCCCTAGAGGTTTAATGAGCCTCATTTTGTTTTCTAAGGGAATATGCAACAACTACTGGTAACCTTTGAACAGCTTAAAATGTCACATAATTCGAAGAACAATGAGAAACGCCACCCGGAGGCAAAGGCAGGTCAGTCTTGGTGCACGCCCCACATGGCTGGAAAACCCACCACAACAATTTTGTTGAGTGGCACAGCCATATCTGAATGGAATGGCAGAAGTCACAAAGCCAGCACAGCTGCTTGACAAAGATCCAGCAGAGCTGAGCCACATGATGGCTGCCATGCCACCTTTGGTTTTCATCTCCACCTGTTACATACTTGGGGCACTGTGGTGGTATTGTGTTCCCTAAAATATTGTGCACCCTAATAAACTTACCTGGGGTCAGAGACAGAACAGTCACTAAATACAAGGGCTAGAAAATGGTGGCACTCACACCTTTAATCCTAGCATTCCAGAGGCAGAAATCCCTCTGGATCTCTGTGAGTTCAAGGCCACATTGGAAATGGCCAGGCATGGTGACACATGCCTTTAATCCCAGGAAGTGGTGGTAGAAAGCAGAAAGGTATATAAGGCGTGAGGACCAGAAACTAAAAGCATTTGGCTGGTTAAGCTTTTAGCTGGTTAAGCTTCAGGCTTTCAAGCAGCAGTTCAGCTGAGAGCCATTGGGATGAGGACACAGAAGCATCCAGTCTGAGGAAACAAGACCAGCTGAGAAGTTGGCCAGGTGAGGTTAGCTGTGGCCTGCTCTGTATCTCTGATCTTCCAGCTTCACTCCAATACCTGGCTACAGGTTTGTTTTATTAAGAAGACTCTTTAAGATTCCTGCGACAGGGCACTTTTTAATATTTGTACAATTTGGGGATGTTGAATTGATAAAAGATTCCTTATGAATCATTTATGCCTTCTCCCAGGAATGCTGCTTCTAAGATTATCCAGGAAAGTCCTGAACATACTACCCCCCCCCCACACACACACACACTTTGAGGGAGATATCATTATCTACCTGAAGGTCTTCCTTATGCCTTAGAGGTTGTGACACATAAGGAAGAAGCCAGAGATCTCTTCATGAGGCTATGAGACATTCTTGAAACATCTCTCCCTGCACTTACACTCAAACAAGATATTTAAAACAAAGTAAAATTAAAAAGGCCACCAAGATTCGGTGGGCTAGAGGAATTGTCCACAGTTCAGATTACAAGGCTCTTCCCACTGTACACTCAGACAATTACGTGGCATACAACTCTGCCCTATATAGAGACATATTGATGAGCAAAGTATGGAGTGGAAAGATGATAAAAGTATGAGATGTTAGGACCTCCCTCTCTTAGAAGTTAGCTCATGTGGAGCCACTGGAATGTCATATGACCAAGGAACAACAGAATGCCAGGATTAGATGTTTAGACAAATTCTATAAAGATATAAATGTGAACATTGATTGTATTATGTCAGGATTTGAATAATAACTGCAGTAGCATTAGCCTGAGGATTTTTCTTGGGCACTCTGACCACTAAGGGTTAATAATACATTGCTTGAGACATGGCAAAATGCCCAAGATGGTTGAAGATTTTGTTTTGGTCTAGTGTCCTTGAAGCAACCAAAACAATCAGCCTGAGCACAGGCTGTCATATGCCTCTAGATTCTCAAAAATTGGGTTATGGGGTTAATGAGTAAGAATGATAACTCTGTTTCTTAATGATGTCAAAACTTGAGGGAAAGTGATTGGAAATGATAACTCTGTTCTGTCATAGTTTATTAATGATGACAAAAAGATGAGCAAAAGGAAGTGAAACACATGTCCAAAACCAAAAATGATATGATCTATGTTTTGGAACATCATGAATGCATCCCTGCTAACTAAATTCTGTATAAATAAACACTCTGGCTGCTAGTCAGTCAGGCTGCAAGATTCTCCCGACCACCATGGCCTGGCTCACTTCCTTCTCCCACCAACTCCTTACACCCTCCGCAGGACCCATCCACAGCCGGGAATGACCCCCAGCATATGAGGTGTTCTGCTGAATTTATCAAGCAAGAAATGCTACAGCATCAGCCATGAATTCCACTCAGGGACCGCTTCTCAGGACGTTTCATGGCACTAAAGGCAGGGGAGGGGAGCATAACTACAAACTGGCTCTTCAAAACAACTACTCTGTACAATGTCAGCATCCCAGCAAGGACAGAGGAGGGATGCACAAGGCCCTGTCCTAGCTGGGAAGCTACTGGCAGTGACAACGGCTGGGGCAGGAAGGGGCAATTTTCTGCAGGGGTGTGGTCCTCCTGGGCCCACTGTGCACCTGCAGATGGCTTCTCATCTAGGCATCACTGACTTGGACCCAATGGGTTACTTTAAAGGCAGAAGAAGAGGATGTGAAGTTGGAAAGGACATGTTTGGCGGGAATGGGGGAGGGGATCAAATACACTGAATGCATGTATGAAATTTTCAAAGAATAACTTTTTAAAATTTAAAAAGTAAAAAGGTAAAGAGATTTCAAGAACTATTAGGTGAGACCCATAACAACAATCTCACTTAAACATAGACTTAAAACTATAGATACTTACTCCTCCACTGGCCCCATGAACCAAGACGCTTTCCCCAGCTTGCGCACGGGCACTGCAGAACAAAGCAGAGGGGCGTTACTCTCTCCTAAGCTGACCAAGAGCTGCTGTTTTCCATCATCCTCGAGGAGCTTCTACTCTTGCTTCAGCTAGCACCCAACGAGCTACTGCATCCTCACATGGAATCACATATCCTCTAATCCCAAGGCTCAAAGGATGGTTCCCAGAGCCACAGTGAACATAAGCCTTCCATGCAGTACCCACCCAGGGGATGCCACTGGGTACCTGTTACCTGCCTCTGTCCATGATGGATGTAGAAATCACACTTCAGTTCTTAGGCTACAGTCCTCCTATGTTGGTGGAACTTCTGAACTAGAAAAATCGGAGTCCCTCATGTTCATGTGTTGCTGTGGGATGGTCTGTATGTGCTCTGATTGGTCAATAAATAAAACACTGATTGGCCAGTGGCCAGACAGGAAGTATAGGTGGGACTAACAGAGAGAAGAATTGAGAACAGGAAGGAGGGGAGAGACACTGCCAGTCACCACCATGACAAGCAGCATATGAAGATGCCGGTAAGCCACGAGCCATGTGGCAGGGTATAGATTTATGGAAATGGATTAATTTAAGTTATAAGAACAGTTAGCAAGAAGCCTGCCATGGCCATACAGTTTGTAAGCAATATAAGTCTCTGTGTTTACTTGGTTGGGTCTGAGCGGCTGTGGGACTGGCGGGTGACAGAGATTTGTCCTGACTGTGGGCCAGGCAGGAAAACTCTAGCTACAATGTGACCCCACTGAGAGTGTCCCCAACAAGTTTTCCGCACCTCAGTCTTTATCCTGTGGTCCAGGGTTACCCAGGTAATAGCAGGTAACTGCTTCTTGCAGTGCCAAGAAACTGTCCCTCCACACCTCTGAACATCAGATCTGAGAGTCCTGAGAAAGGCGGTGCTGGGTCACCAAGGTCCCCAGGGCCCTGTAAAGTGCCCCCCAGGCTTTGCACCTGTGCCCCATTCCCTCGTCCTGTCAATCACTGGGGAGTGCTTCACTGTTCAAACACATGAGCCCTCAGGTCACCACAACACCCTTATCACCCAGCTAACTCTGGGAGATAGGGCCACTCACGGATCGAGGGCCCCTTTCTGGAGACCCTGTTCATTCTAGAACGGGAACATATAGCCCTGAGTCCCTGCTCACGGCTTACCCATGGCAATCACTGAAGCCTCCCTCACTCTTGTTTATAGACAGGGAAGTGAAGACAGAGAGAAAGAGAGTTTAAATGATAAACTGAGATATAAATATCAAAAACTCTGATACCTTGATGTACAAATGTAGGGGAATAAGATTACTAACAATACACACTGAGAGATAAAACATGCCTTGGAAACCTTAGAAAATCCCTCAAACGTGAAGAATGCATTTTCCCAAATCTCAAG